AAGAACTTTAAAGCTCATCTAGGTCAAAGCCCCTGCTATGGACAGAGACACCTTCCACTATCCCAGCTTGGACAGGGACACCTTCCACTATCCCAGCTTGCTCCAAACCCTGTCCAACCTGACCTTGGCCACTTCCAGAGATCCAGGAGCAGACAGAGCTTCTCTGGGCACCCCTCTCGGACCCAAACCAAGCCCTGATTCTGTGGCTGATCAAAGCGGGGTGGCCACTCCTGCACCCCCCGCGGCCGCCCTGGCGTCCCTCTGGCGCTGCTGGCCAGCTTTAATCCCCTGGCACGCTTGGCTGAGCACTCCCCACCCCCTTGCAAGTGCCTCCCATAGCAGGAAGGAGCGCAGGAGCTTTTTGCCTCACTTTCCACAGAGCTTTCAGCAGCTCCAATGTCATTGCCTTGGCGACCGGGACGCTACTCCGCGGTAGTGCAGTGAATAACGTAGATCCTCAATCCCAGGCCACTCCTGGCTGCAGGAGACCTCCGGGGGAGCTCAAAACTCAGGTAGGAGGGGAAAAAAAAAACAAAAAAACAACAAAGCCCGACAAAAGGAAACCCCTTGCTCTGGGGGTGTGGGGTGTGTGAATTTCTGGATAACGCGGCTGGAGGATGATTTGCGGCAGGATTGTGACACGGTGGTGAAGTGTCTCGGGAAGTTTGCTCCCAAAGTGGGTTAACTCTGGAGTGAGAGCGCTTTTGGAGGAGCCTCGGATGAGAGAGGCAAGGGAAGGGCTGGATCCTGGTGGGATCCTGGGCTCAGGTCCCTGTGCAGGGCTGCCAGGGAGGGAGGGGGAGCAGCCTCAGCTCCTGCCCCATCACTGCTGGCTCAGAGGATTTCCCCCCAACCTGCCTCCCCCTCGGGAGAAAATTTTTGACAAGCTGCTGGATCCCACGGAGGGGTCCTGAGATGCAAAGAGTGCTGCAGGAAAGCTCACTGGCTCTCCCTTGCTTTGACAAAGCTCATTTGGCAGAGGTGAATTTAACAGTCTGAGATAAATGAATGATAGCACAGGGTGGTGTTGGCACTGTGGGACTGGCAGTGTTTTTTCAGACATTAAGTTGTTTGCTGTGGGCTGGATGAGCCTGATGGGTCTGGTTGTGAGGAGGAGAGAAAGGCCAGGGCCAGTTCCCAAATCATGGAGCAGCTCTGTGTGAGGGGTGGAAACAGCTCTCAGAATTCCTGCTCTCCCAGAGTCCTTAGGAATTAGTGATACCCCTGTTATATTGGGTTTGTGCATTTATATCCCCTTCAGGTGGCTGCAAAACGCTGTCATGTTTCCTCCTGGGCTGTTTGATTGTGAATAACAAATACTGAGCATTTCTGGTGCTAAACCCGAGCCCTAAAGTTGACAGTGAGCTCAAAGATGCTCCTTCCGGAGACTGCAGAAACTCAGTGAGCAAACTCAGCCAGTTCCAGCAAGGCTGAGAGCCCACAGTGTCCTTCACCATCCTCACTGTGATGAAAAAAGTTGAGTTTATAACCATTCCAAAAATGTATTAGACCTTAGTAACCATTCTAATATTTATGAGATATTTATTATGTGACCTGTGTGGTCACAACACGTGAGTGAGGCACGGTTGGATGGACTGAGGTTCATCTGCTCTGCTTCTCCAAGGAGTTCCTTCACCATCCTCACTGTGATGAAAAAAGTTGAGTTTATAACCATTCCAAAAATGTATTAGACCTTAGTAACCATTCTAATATTTATGAGAATTTATATTTTATTTATTATGTGACCTGTGTGGTCACAACACGTGAGTGAGGCACGGTTGGTTCATCCGCTCTGCTTCTCCAAGGAGGTGTTCTCCCATGCTGGGCTGGCTGTAGGGACTTTGGTCCCTGCTTTTCCTTCTCCCTCTGTCTCTGGGGCTGGGTTTTTCCACAGCACCGTGGAAAACTGACTACGTGGAGCTTTTCCATGCTAATCTTTGGGAATTATTTCAGTGGCCGTGCACAGGGAAGCTCCAAGGGCAGGGGCAGCCCCGCAGGGTCCCGCATCCCGGGGGTGGCAGCCCTGCCCTGGGCTCAGCCGGGTCCCGCGGGGCTCAGAGCTGGGGGATCCCCTTTTAGGAGGTTTTCTCTGCCCGCTGCCGGGCTCTTTTCCCATGTGCAGCCTCCCTGCAATGCCCTGACTAGCAACAGAGGGAAGCAGCAATCCAGGGAATGCTAGAGCGCAGCTCTCCCAGTGACCGCCGGCAAATCCCACCGGCAACCCTGGATCCCAGCACCAACCCCCTGGTTTGCACTTTTTGGTCTTTTTTTTTCCCTTAGAAACCTGCAATAAATCCAGTGCAGGTCCCTCCCGAGCTGTGCCAGCCGTGCCAAGCATCCCCCACTGCCTCCCTGCCACGTCGAGGTGGGATGGATGGACAATTCCTTGCTGGAATTCTCCTTGCTGCACCCTTTCCCTGGAAGAGGAGATCCACACTTTAACGAGCAGTCTGGGGTCTCTGCAGGTGATAATGCTCCTGGGGGAGTCTGGCTGGAGAACTCTTGCTGGAGGAAGTGAGGATGAACCCCCAGGTCTTCCCTGTGGTGACAGCAGGGAGCTGAGCTGGGCTGTGGCTGCTCCTGAGCTCAGCCCCGGGTGCCATTTGCTCAGCCTTGGGCACAGAATTGCATCCAAGCCACCAGGAATGCTTCCAGAGCAATGCAGAATTAGGCTCTAAGGCTCTTCCCAATTTCCTTTTGATTTTGTTGCACAAGGCTCCCACAGCTTCCCACCCTTTTCCTTCTGCAGGACCTCACCATCACAGTGCTTTCCCAGCTTCCCAAATGTGAATGCCTCCAGCATTCCCTGAAAAGGGGCTCTACATGGCACCTCCTTTCAGAGGGAATTAAATCAGCACCAGACAAATTTGGGGGACCCTATTTGTAGGTAAATTGTTTGGTAAATTCTTTACCAACGTGGGTGCTTGGTGCTGGGCTGTCACTCTTGCTGCAGAGGTGATGAGCAGGGATCAGAGCAGCAGGGATGTGCTTTACCAGCACCCACCACCCCAGCTTCCCTTTGTACCCCTTAATTCAGAGCTCAGACACCAGAAGAGGCTGGCCTGGCTTTGCACACCCACGCTGTGCTTTGAGAGAGTGAAAGGGAACTTCCGAAACGCCCTTAAAATAGTCAGATTTCTTTCCTTCTGAGAACCAGAGCGGCCACGTGGTTAGAGCTGGTGTCACCCGTGCTGACCACACAGCCGGGGCGGTGCAGAGGTGCTTTCTCCTCGGCAGGAAAAGGCCTGGCTACTTCCTGAAGCTGCTCTGGGCCAGGGAAAGCAGCATGGAAGAAGGGTAAGAGTGCCAGCAGTCCTGTTCTGTCACCTGCGTCTGTTCTAGGCTTCTCTCAGAGCTGCTTTCGTTTCTCTGTGTGTCACACGTGGGGTGAGGAGGGACGGGAGGACATCAGACTCTGCTTTTAGCTGTCCCTGACATGGGACCCGTGGGGATTGAGCCTTCCTGTGCCCTCCTGTGCCCTCCTGTGCCCTCCTGTGTGTGGGAATTCCTCCAGGCAGGGTGGCTGCGGATGCTGTGTTTTGTCGAAACTGACGGGGAAAGCTTCCCTGCTTTCATTTTAACTCTGTCCCCTGCAGCCAGCCGGTCCCCAGCTGAGTCCCAGGGGCCCTGGCCACCCGAGCATCCCTGGCTCAGGGAGCAGCTGCCCTGCACTCCCGCCCAAAAGGCAGGAAGTGTCGGGTTTTCACTATGAGATGTCGCAGCCGAGATGGGATGCTCACAGCAGCGTGGGGAAAAAAGACAGCCAGATGTGCCTGGGGGTGTCAGCCAGGGCAGGGAAGAAGTCCTGCTGCTTGCAGGGAGAGGCCGAGGGAGGAGGATGATGGTTGCCCATGGGGGAAGGCAGCACGAGGCTCAAGATGGCTCCGTGAAACTTCCGGCTCCAGCTGCTGGCTCTGAGAGGCTCCGGGCACCCGGGAGAGCTGGGCTGGGCTGCTGTCCTCCAAGAATCCTCATTCAGGGACAAGGGGAACGGACTGGACCGAGCCTGGCTCTGGCTGTGACTGTGCAGCAGCATCCAGGAGGCTTTGAGTGAAAAACTGATTCATTCTGCTGAGCTTGGCTCATCCTTGCCTGCTGCCCTGGCCTGCACTGCTGGGGCTGGGGACACTGTCCCCCAGCGTGAGCCACGGGGTGTCCAGTGCTGTGGTCACTCATGATGGGCTCTGGGGGGCTCTGAGTGTCCCCCACGATGGTTCTGAGAGTCTCTAGTCCTGTGTCCCCATGATGGTTCTGGGGGTCTCTGGTCCTGTGTCCCCATGATGGTTCTGGGGGTCTCTGGTCCTGTGTCCCCATGATGGTTCCGGGGGTCTCTGTTCTGTGTGTCCCCCACGATGGTTCTGGGAGAATCTGGTCCTGAGTGTTCCCCACGATGGGCTCTAGAGGGTTCTGGTCCTCTGTGTCCCCATGATGGCTCTGGGGTCTCTGGTCCTGTGTCCCCCACAAGGGACCCTGGGGTCCCTGACTGTGTGTCCCCTGCCACGGGCTCCAGGGCTCTCTGGCCCCTGCTGTGCTGCTGGGAGGAAGTTGGGATTGAGGGATTCCTTGGACAGCTGCTTTGCTGGAATGAGATGGCACAGCACAGAATGGCACAACACGGCACAGCACAGCACGGCACGGCACAGCGCAGAATGGCACGTTACAGCACAGCACAAAATGGCATGGCACAGCACAGCCCAGCACAGGACAACACACAATGGCACAGTACAGCACAGCACAGCTCAGCATGGCACAGCACAGAACAGCATGTCACAGCATGGCACAGCCCAGAATGGCACAGCACTGCACAGAAGAGCATAGCACAGAATGGCACAGCACTGCACAGAATAGCACAGCACAGAATGCACAGCACAGAATTCCACAGCAGAAAATGGCACAGCACAGCACAGAATGCACAGCATGGCACAGAATGCACAGCACAGCACAGCATGGCACAGCACAGCCCAGCACACTGGCAGTGCTAACCCTGCTGTTTCCCTTTGGCCAGGGTGATCTATCCTCTGTCGGACTCCCCTGCTCTGAAGATGTCCCAGTCATCCCCGGCTGACGAAGGCCCCACGTTCGAGCACCTCTGGAGCTCGCTGTAAGTGGGGTGTGCTCATTCCCCATGGGGGTGTTCAGGGGCAGCAGGGGCTCTTTGACAAAGACAAATTTCCTTTTGCATCCTCTCTTTCCACAGACGCCTTTGCCACCTGCTAAATTTGGCTCCCTGGTTTCAGACTCTGCTCAGGGCACTCCATTTGCCATGTCTGTCTCAGGGGTGGCTGCAATGCTTCAGAGCAGCATGGGGACAGTGTCAGGGCCAGAGCAGAGCTCCCCTCAAGCTGGGACCCTTAATTCCAAAATTAAACATCTTCCAGCCCCACCAAGATCTTTGCAAATCTTCTGGTCTTTGAGCTTCATGCTCTGATCCAGCAAGGGGAAGGATTGTGCTTCATTCCGTCTTCTTCCTCCCTTCCTAAAGACACCCCAAGTTGACAGATATGCTGGAGTAGCTGGGTGGATGCAGAAATTCCTACATCTACTGCTCTGCCAGGTGGAAATAAAAGCAGAGGATGGAGGAAGAAGTTGGGAAAGGGACAAGGTTTAGGGGACTGTGAGTTGCTGGGGGTAGTGGTGGTGGCACAGGCTGTGTTGGAGCGCTGGGAGATGACTGTGCCTCAATTTCTGCTCAGGGAACCAGACAGCACCTACTTCGACCTGCCTCCAGCCAACCCCAGCAGCAGCAGTGAGGTCTCCAACAGCACAGAGGTCACGATGGACGTGTTCCAGATGAGGGGCATGACTGACTCGGTGATGGTGAGTGTGCTCAGGCAGCAGGGATGGGGACTTGAGCCGGGCACACACTTGATTTCCCCTCAGGGGTGGGCTGGGGGCTCTGAGGGAGGCATTTGCTGCTTCATAAACTAACCTTGCTGGCACTGGTGGAGGGTTAATCAATGGCACAAGGGTCAGCAAAACCGTGGCTATTTGTTGTTAGGTAACATCAGTGCAGGCAGCAGCGGGGAGCTCTAGGGCAGTACCTGGACATCGGCAGAGTGTCATTCGCTCCGGGACAAAGCCATTTGTGAGCTGCTGGAGGAGCACGCCGAGCTCGCAGCTCTGCTCCCAGCACAGCCCCAGCTCCGTGCCGCTGCCTTTCCTGCCAGAAGCCTTTGCTTCTGCCTGAGACAAAGTCTTGGGAAAGCATCGCTGCCGTGCGAGACATCCCGGCCGCTTGTGCGTGTTCGGCAGCGCCCGGGAGCATCCCTGAGGCTGTTGGATGCATCTCCCTGAGGGGAGACACTGTTTCCCTCCAGAAAATCGCTGTTTCCCTCCCGAAAGTCGCTGTTTCCCTCCCGAAAGTCGCTGTTTCCCTCGCCGACAGCTTGCCTCCCCTCCCCCAGCCCCTTTTCCCTCGCTTTCCGCTCGCTTTCCCTCCCTTCCCCGGCCTTTCACAGCGGGCAGGAGCCGGGCAGAGCGCTGCTAATTGTGGCTGTGCCCCTCGCTGGGCGAGCCTCGCCTTTCCCGCCGCTCCCGCTGTAAGCAAAGCCGAGCCCGGCGGGGACGGAGCAGCCTGGGGTGCGCGACGGAAAGTGCTCTGGTAACGGGATGGGGAGAGGCTGCGAGGGACCACTCAGCCCATGCTGATTGCTGCTGCCCTTGGCACACATCGGTGCCACAGTGGTGCTGGTGCTCGGTGGCACTGAGCAGGTCACCCCAATGCTCTGTCAGGCATCCATCCCTAACTATTCCTGTCTGCCCCTCTAGAAATCCATCCATCCATCCATCCATCCATCCATCCATCCATCCATCCATCCATCCATCCATCCATCCATCCATCCATCCATCCATCCATCCATCCATCCATCCATCCATCCATCCATCCATCCATCCATCCATCCATCCATCCATCCATCCATCCATCCATCCATCCATCCATCCATCCATCCATCCATCCATCCATCCATCCATCCATCCATCCATCCATCCATCCATCCATCCATCCATCCATCCATCCATCCATCCATCCATCCATCCATCCATCCATCCATCCATCCATCCATCCATCCATCCATCCATCCATCCATCCATCCATCCATCCATCCATCCATCCATCCATCCATCCATCCATCCCTCCATCATACATCCATCCCTCCATCCATCCCTCCATCCTTCCATCATCCATCCATCCCTCCATCATCCATCATTCATTCATCCATCCATCCATCATCCATCCATCCCTCCATCATACATCCATCCCTCCATCCATCCCTCCATCCTTCCATCATCCATCCATCCCTCCATCATCCATCATTCATTCATCCATCCATCCATCATCCATCCATCCCTCCATCCATCTACCCATCCCTCCATCATCCATCTATCCATCCATCCATCCATCCATCATCCATCCATCCCTCCATCTATCATCCATCATTCATCCATCTGTCCGTCATCCATCCATCCATCCATCCATCCATCCATCCATACATCCATCTCTCAATCCTTCCATCATCCATCCATGCATCCATCCATCCGTCCCTCCATCATCCATCCATCATCCATCCATCATCCATCCATCCTCACCCATCTGTGTCCATCCATCCAGATAAAAACAACTCCATATCTCCCAGACATGGAGCTCTCTCAGAGTCACTGCCCTGCCTGGTCAGTGCCAGGGTGGGCACCTCAGTGTGCAGGTGACAGCTGCCAGCCCAGCAGGTCTCCAACCCTGTGTGGCTGGAAGAAGCTTTGGGGAGTGGGATCTGGACAGGTGTGGTGGTGGATCTGGACCCCTGCTCTCCCTGCAGTGGGAATGGTTGGTATCGCCCAGTCCATCACTGGGCAAGCTGGGGCCTGCCCTGTGCTTTAATGAATAGTCATGAGGGACAGAAGGGGTGGGCCCCGTTTTGTTGTTGGATGCAGCGAGTTGACAGAACTAAGGGAGATGAAAAAAGCAAAAAAGCCAACAGACGGCGGCACACAGACGGGCGGCCAGCGCAGCATCCCTGGCGCTGCTGCCCACCCGGCCCCGCTCCGCTCCTTCCTCCCACCGCCACCCCTCCCCGGCGGCCGCCCCGACCCCATGACTCCCGTGCCAGGAGGTTTCCCCGCGCTCCGTGAGCCCCGAGACAACTAAAATGCTCTACATCAGCGACCCGATGCAGCATTACACCACGGTAGGTGCTGCTTGCTGCGGGCGGGCTTTGCTTTGATGCTCTCCTTAGAGTTATCCTCCTCTTCTGGGGTACCTGCTCTGGCTCTGCCTGCCCAGCCCGGGTGCTGGATGCTCCAGGGGTTGTGACATTGCACTCCTGTCGCTGTCCTGTAGCTGCTGGAGGACCTGGAGCTGGTGCAGCCCTGCTCGTGTTGGTGCAGGATGCTGCAGCCTCGGCAGACAGTCACTTCTCCTCTTGCTCTGCCCCATCTGCTGCTTGCAGAGCCCAAGGTGTTGATTTAAAGCTCAGGTGCCGAGGGTGCAGGGTCCCTCAGCTGTGTGTGGGAAGGGGTCAGCCAGAGCATCCATCCAAGGAGCACCTGGGGGTGCTGGGGGTGTCCAGCATCACTTTGTCATCCACTGGGGACCTCCTCAGCTGAGCCCACACTGCACACCTGCCTCCCCAGGCAGGTTTCCTCTCCCTGCTGGAAATCCCTGGGAGGGCAGGGCAGGTACCTGTACCTGTACCTGTACCTGTACCTGTGCTGCAGGTAATACATTTCCAGCCCTGTCCCTAAGTGCTGAGGTTGTTTCCTTAGGGAAAAGGGTTTGTGTCTGTCCCTGGCATTTGGAACAGTCCAGCACAGGTACAGAGAGAGTCAAAGACAGAAGGAAATCCTTTAATTCCTGGTTTTACCTTAAGTGTGTTGGTACCAAGCCCGTGTGTCCCATTGTTGGGGCTGTTCCATGGGAGGTCGTTGCTGCAGTTGTATGAACAATTATCCCTGTGTGTGTAGGTACATATTTACACACACACACAAACACTGCTGCCTTCAATTTGTCTTTTAGCGGAATGTTTCCACAATTTCATCAGTTTTGAGCAGCAAGTCTGTGGTTTTGCCCACGCACCTGACTCTGGGTCTCTCTGCCAGCAGATTCCCAAATTCTGGGCACTCAGGGTGCTGCCTCCTGCTTTGTGCTAAGGCAGCCCAGCTCGGGGCAGCCAGAGGTGATACCCTGGGTCTCATATCTCACCATCCCTCCTGAGGGAAGGTTTTCTCCCACACAGAGCTCGGGATGCTCCGTTCTGTGGTGGGTCCCCATGCACTTGCCTATTCACAGCCACACGCTTCAGCCATGGCTTCAGTCCTGTCTCTCAGCATGGGAGCAAAACAGCTCAGCCCTGGTACTCCTGGATCAGCTGGGCTGGGAGCAGCCCCATCCAGCAGCAATCCCTTTTCCCTTGCTGCTGTTCTCCTGGGTGATCCCTCAGCTTTGCCTGTGCCACCTCAGTGGCTCTGCCCTGCCCATAGTCCCTGCAGCAGTTCCATTTCCCAGTTGAATGCTGAAAGCTTTCCTAACGTGCCTGTTTTGCCAGAGTTTCTCATAAGTTTTTCTCCAGGTGAAGGCTGGATTAAGGAAAGCTTGGCTTGTCTTTGGCTGGGCTATTTATAGAGCGGTGAGGAGGAATAGAGGGATTTAGGCACATATTTTAGGGGAGAAAATGGCTGGATGCATAAAAGCAAGCCAGATCTTGTTCAGCATTCCTCCAGTTAGTCACAGGCTCCAACGACCTTGTGAGAGATGCAGGCAACAGGAGAACTTCCCTGGAGAAGGATGATTGCCTTTAAACCATTCCACATCGAAGAGGGTTGGGTGAGGTTGGGATCCCAAGTTAAAACACGTTTCCTGATTCCTGAGCCGTGAGCTTTGCAGCCCTCTGGAGAAGGCTGAGCCTGCTGGCTGTGCCCACGGCTGCTTCCACAGCTCTTGGCTTCCCAGAGCTGCCCCAGAGGGTGCTGGGGACAAGGACAGTCCCTGCCAGGCACGAGGGCAGTCCCAGGGGGTCTGTGTCCCTGCTCCAGTGCTGGGAGCCAGGGTGACACACGGCAATGCACCCGACAGTGTGCATGGTCACCAGCACTACCTCTGGGGCTGCAGGGTGAGAGCAACCCCTGAGCAATTCAGAAATTGTAGATTTCTGGGGGGAAAACGCCATCCCACTCGCTCTGATTTAACTCTGATTTTCTAATTAAATACTAAGATTGATTTAGCCACAGAGATCTTGGGAATGTCGCTGTGCTTGGGCTGTGCCTTGGGTAAAGGAGCTGCCTGCTCTTATTGGAAGAATCTGGCAGTAATTGGTCAGAATAGGAATAAGGAAAAAATTTTAAAAAGTCAAGATTTGGTCCCACAGGTCTGGAATGAGAGCCAGGACCTGCCTAAGAGGTCCCTGTGATTTTGCTGCAGCGCCTGCTTTGTAGGTTTGAGGTTTTCCCCAAATTAGAGATGCATCAGGCACTGGGAGCAGACATCCCGCTGGGAAACCAGCTACAAACCACTGCTCGGGGCTGGCCGGCTCGGGGAGGCACTCCGGGAGCGGTGGGTGGGTGTGTGTCCGTGGCCAGTGAACACACCGGGGACAGGCTGGAAAAGAGGCTGGAAAACGGGACGGCTGCTGGGAATCGCCGCGGCGATGGAGCGGTGTCATCGCCAGGGACTGCTGCTCACCTTGGCGGGGTGGCTTGGCAGAGCTGTGACACTCTGGCTGCTGGAAGGGACAGCGGGGAGCAGAGCCCTGCGTGCAGGACAGGGCTGGCACTCCCCACCTCCAGCGGAAAATTTCCCACAGCTGAGCAAACCCCACAACCTCCCTGCCCTCTCCCCGCTGTCAGAAGCGTGGCTTTCCCGAGGCAGGTGCTCTAGAAACCCGGGGATTGGGGCACCTCGCTGCCTCCAGCGAGGATGGAGAGGCTCGAGGGGGGAGATTTAAGCACACGGATTTCATCCCTCACACAAGTGGCGACCTGTCAGAAAACCCGAGCCACCCAGACCAGCTCCTTTGACTCCCCTCCGCACGCTGGCCCTTTAAGGAGGCTGTAACAGGACACCCCAGCTCTGGAGAAAGGTGGCTGAGGTTTCCCTGTCTCTAAACTGGCTGGTGTTTTCTTTTTTCCCTCCTCCCCTTTTCCCTTCCTCCAGTCCCAGTTCAATTTGCTGAACAACAGCATGGATCAGAGCATCGGCAGCAGAGCAGCCTCCACCAGCCCCTACAGCTCCGAGCACACCTCCAATGTCCCAACGCATTCTCCCTACTCGCAGCCCAGCTCTACCTTCGACGCCATGTCCCCGGCCCCCGTCATCCCCTCCAACACCGACTACCCTGGTCCCCACCACTTCGAGGTGACCTTCCAGCAATCCAGCACCGCCAAGTCAGCCACCTGGACAGTAAGTTTGAGTTCTTCTGCCTTGGCTGGGGAGATGCTCAGCGCTGCCGAGCGCGTCCTCACTGCCAGCAGCGCCCAGGCTGGTGGTGGCAAGGGGAGGTGGCACGGGGCAGCTGCGGGATGCAGCCACCACTGGTGGCGACTTCACCGGCACAGGTGGTGGCCCTGGGAAGGGAAGTAGCTGGAAACATCCCTGCTTGCTTTCCAGGGGGTTTGTCCCAAAGGTGTGTGAAGGACGGCGGCTGGGATGTCACTTCTCTCGTGGCGACTCCCTTAATTGTGGGTAGATGTCCTGCGAAAATAAATGTCCTGGGGAAGTACCTGCCTTGTTCTCACGGTGCTTCCCGGCATATTTGCCAGCGGGTGCTGTCAGAGGCGAGGCCGTGGGCGAGAGGGACCTTTGCTCTTGTCTCCCGGCGCCGTTCCCAGCTGTGCTGTAAAATGTCATTTACAGTCCTTCTCCCTCCCGTATTAGAGGAGTAACTTAATCCCTACAAGTCGCAGCAAATAACAGAGCAGGATTTTGAGCGCAGTAGGTTTTGATGCCCAGAGGGATGGCTGCACAGCCCCTGCTGTCGCTCGGAGCCGGGATGCAGCTTTGCTCCACGGCTGCTCCTGCTGCCCTGCACGGGACAGCTCTGCGAGCAGGGACCCGGGGGCCGGGCAGAGCGCACGGGATCTGCTCTGCTTTCTGTGACAAAAAGTCCTAAATTCGCAGCCCTGCTGCTGGCTCAGCGCGGCGTTTTTAAGGAGAACCAGCGCTTGTAGCCGGTGGCACAAGTGTCAATCCCGCAGCGGGTGCCTCTGAGGGAGCAGCTGACCATGCTCGAGCCGGGTTTTCTCCCCCGGGAAGCACCGGCAGAGCAGGAAGGTTGGGATGGGACGGCTGACACCCCGCAGGAGCAGCAGAGTTTCCTCCGGGGCTGCGGTTTGACATTGTCATGGAACGGGCAGAGCAGCCCAGCGGTATTTAAGCCCCGGGTGTGATAATGACCTTTGCGGAAGGTGACGTGTTTAATTGCCAAGACAGTCTCTCCCGCGGGACACAGAAAGCATCCTCGGATGCTGCAGGGACACCCCGAGCAGCTGTGGACGGGATGCTCCTGGTTATCCCGGGGAGGATGCGGGAGGAGAACGGGGCTCGGCAGCTCCGCAGCGCTGGGGCTGTGTCCTGCCGAAGCCAGAGGGTGTGTGCAGTGGAAAGCAGCAGCGATCGGGTGTTTAAAAGCAGCCGAATTCCCGCTGGTGCAGTCCAGCAGCTTCCCCGCTGGCGGTGGCGGCTGCTTCACACGGACCGGGCGCTCGGGACAGCGCCTTGCCCTCGCAGGGTGTTAAATCTCCACTCTTTCCACTGTCTTTCCTTGCGGCATTTCATTAGGAAGTGAATAAACCGGAGGTCCTCGGGCAGGATGTGATTCCAGCCCGCTCCTGTCCCCGCTGGGGGATAACTCCTGGCAGCCACAGGTAAAGCTGCACAGGACCTGCCCAGGGAAGGGAAGGGAGGCATTCCCGTGCTAAAGCGTCCCAATGGAAACCGAAACAAGGCACTGCAGCGTGTCCTGTCCCGGCACGTAGGGATGGGGGCCAGAACGTCGCCGATGCTCGCTTGCCACTGTCCCCAGCTAGGAGTGCAGTGGGATGGCTTTGGGGTGGAGCAGACGCAGCTCAGCGGGGCTCCCCTCCTGAAAGCCATCCCATCCCCCGGGATCTTTCCACAGCTCTAACTAAAGGTTGCTCAGGCTGTCTCACATCACCTTGTGCTGACTGTTCTCCTCTGGCTGTGTCCCACTGGGAGCTCGGCACCCAGGACAGGATGTGGCTGTTTTTCCCAAGCCTTTGTGGGAGTTCAGGGCAGGCAGTGCCACACGGTGCCCTTCCAGCCTCGGGGGAGCAGCTGGACCCGGGAGCTGCCTGAAGAACAGGCTCACTCCAGGGTTGGCTGCGAGCATCTGTGGAGGATGCACTCACCAGCTGGGGCTGGGAGCCACGGCTGCAAGGACGGGCCCTGGGAAGGGTCCTGAGTGAGGATTTGAATGCCTGAAGTGGTTTTAGCACTTGGGAGGACACTCAAAGCTGTGTGGCCCTCTGAGCCACAATGCTGGCGTGGCTGCATCCCCCAGAGCAGGTTGGCTGCAGGGCCAGTGCCCACCTGCACTGGAGCTGAGCCTCGTGGAGAGCAGCAGTGGCACCCTGGAGAGCACAGGGGATGTTTCATTTGGAGCAGTGATTCCTGCAGGATTGCCAAGGCGGGTGCAGCATGTCCAGCTTGTCAAGGTGCCACATGAGAAACGGTCCTGCTGCTGTGACACTGGTGTCACTCCCTGTCCTCCTGGTGTCCTCCTGGTGTCCTCCTGGCTGGGGCTGTCACAGGCATGGTCAGTGCTGGAAGATGAGGCTGCTGCCTTCCTCCAACTCACCGTGAGCTCTGCAGTGCCACTGCCACACCTGAGTTTGTCCTGGTTTAACGGGGAAAGGAGCTCAGCAAAACAAATGTGTTCTGTGTTGTCAGTGAACTCACAAATAACACTGTGTGAGCCTCCACAGGAGCTGGGAACACACACCTAAGGTAAGGAAAAGCCATTGGGAAATGCAGGCACTTAGGAAGGGAAGGTAAATGTCTGGTCAGCAGGGCTGGGGACAGAAAGGGACATCTGACAGAGCAGTGATGGCCACACCTTGCCAAACAGCATCAACCATCCTGGTGCTCTGCTTTGGGACAGCACTTGGGAAGAACCAACCCAGCCTGTTCCTCCTGGGGAAGCCTCGTGGCTTTTGGATATGCTGAGCTTTGCTGTCCCCAATAATTCATGCCAGGATGGTTGATCAATTTCCACCAGGCACTGATCACAAGCTCAGCAGAGCCAACACGCTGGGCAGCATTTTGGAGCAGTGAGGGGTCTGCTGCACTGGAAGGAGTCTCAGCTGAAGGTCTCCTGCAATCTGGGATTGAATCATGGAGGATCTGGCCACAGAGGGAAGGACAGCTGGTGAGCAGGCAATGCCAAAACAAATGGTTTCCGTGAGTCATCTTGTCAAAAGATTTGGCATAATTTTTTTATATAGCCACGAGCTTTGGTTGATGGAAGTGTGTATCCCAATGGTCTCCTGGTTTTGAAGGATTTTGACTTGAATCCCTCTGGGCGATGTGGCATTACCCATTCTCCCTCAGTAGGAGAGAAGGATCCTAAGGACAGGTGAGCTGGCCCCTTTAGGGTGCTGGACAAGCCCTTGCTCTGCAGGGCTGGGCAAATCAGTGTCACCTGGGCAGGGGTGTCCCCAAGCCCTGTCCACACACAGTGCTCCTGTCCACACTTCAGACCCTGTGTTGACAAAACAGACTCAGCCTGGGAGGGAGATGTGAAGAAAATTAACAGTTTGGAAGAGATGCCTTGTACAGCAATACCTCAGAAACGTTCTGCATGGAGGTTCCCCCCAAGAAGAGCAAGGGGGCTCGACCATGGTGTGCCCAGGAGGTGGTTCCTGATAGCAGCCAGCTCTTTAATCTAATAGCAAAAGACATAATGAGATCCAGCACTTGGAAGCTGAAGCCAGGCAAATTCAAACTAGAAACAAGGAGGTATATATTTTTTTTTTTTTAGCAGTGAGGATAATTAACCATAGGAACAATTTACCAAGGAATGTGGTGGATTCTCCCAACTCCTGAAGGATTCAAATTAGGAGTCTGCATATCTCTCCAGAGATAAGATGTGCTTTAGCAGACACCCTTGACTCAATGCAAGAGGAAGAGGAAGGAGGCTGAGGATAACAATGTGGGCAGTAGGACCAGAACATCATCAGCTGCTCTCTCTTGCTTCAAAATGCTGAATTTCTAATTTTAGAAAAAAGGTGAATGGAGAAGGGTGAAGCCTTGGGACCGGCATTACCCAGCTCTGTCCTGTCAGAGGGACTCTGGGCAGCAGTGGGTGACACTGGTGTCCCAGCCCCCGGCCTGAGCTCTGACCAGCTCTGGACAGCAGCAGCCTCACCAGCCCGTCCTGCGGGAAGCCCTCCAATCTGCTACCACCTCCCTTTTCATTTTTAATGGCCTTCTTATCACAGAGACCAACGGCCAGATGCCGAAAATAAGCTTTTCCCTGCGGGTTGGAAGCCCCCCTCTGGCAGGCTGCTCCGGCTGAGCCCCGGGAGCTGCGGCACGGCAAGACGGGGCACGCCGGCATCCTGCCCGGCCGCCGGGGCACCGCGGCTCCGCTGCCCGGAGCTGCCCGGACACGCTGCAGCCGCAGCCCATCGCTGCTGTTTTCTCGCCGCAGCCCCTCGCCACGCCAGCCAGCTGGTAACTGACGGATAATTAGGATTTTTCTCAAGTCGGGTTGGCGGCGGAGAGGGGCTCCCTCCGAGCGGGATGCTGTCGCGTGTGCCAGAGCTGCAGAGGTGTTAATGGGGTCTTTGGGACGTGGGGGATCGAGCTCGGTGTGGGGCAGCTGTCTGGGCTCACACGGAGCCCCTGGAGCTGGGGGGAGATGGACAAACCGCCGAGCAGGCAGGCAGGGTCTGTGTCAGACCCTCTGACACAGCCATGCAGGGGCTGAACCACACCCAGGGTCTTGTTGCTGTTTCAGGCAGCAAAAACCCTGCATGGGGAAGGCTGGACAGGAGGGGAGAGCAGCTCCTGCTGCCGTGGATGGCTGCCCAGCAGTCACCCACAGCAAACCAGGCTGCATCCCAGTGCTCAGCCAGTGGGAGATGGCAGCGTGGAACTGGTTCCACTTGCTTGATAGATCTTGCAGCTGGAGCATGAGCACAGGGGAGCTGAAATGTTTTCTCTGGTCCTGACTGAATGAGGAGGATGGGTGTAACTGGTGTGTGGGAGGCAGGTTCTCCCCTGCTGGTCACTGTGGCTTTTTGGAGTAGAGGAAGATATGAAGAGGAGGGAAAATTCTTCAGGAGCATCTCTGTACCATGAACCCCCTCTGCAAACTCTCTCTGGCACCTTCCCATATCCCAGGGAGGCTGCTGTCCAACAGTCATGCCCTGGAGATG